GGCTCAGCTGCTGGCTGCTGTCAGGGAGGCTGGCAGCTGCATGGTTGGCCAGTTGTCCCCTCCTTTGGGGTCCACTTTTGGGATCTGCCAACCAAGGAGCTTCATGGGGGAGCCTGGGGTCTCGGGCTGCATTGGGGTAGGCTGCTGAGCGCTGGCAAACTCATGCTGCTGGTGGTTCCCGGAGGGCCCCTGCCTGGGGGCAGCTGGAGGGTATGGTGCCCAGGTGGGGCAGCATCCCTGGGGGGTGACACTTCTGAGCTTCTGCTCAGGGGGCCAGACTGCACGGCTGCTCCTTTAACACCCTGACGGTTTCCAGTTTCCCAGTGCCACCAAAAGGAGGTGGAACAAACCCAACCCTTCCCCGCTAATCAAAACCAGGCCTGAAATTAGAAAGCGGCTCGCGTTCAGCCCCCCACTTGCTGGGAGCACGGCGCTAGCCGGCCAAATGTCAGAGCTCCTATTTATGGAAAGCGAGAGCCCTCCTTTTCCATGGAGAAGCATTGGAGGGGGGGACCCAACTGGCGTCCTTGCCATGGGCAGACAAGGGCAGCTCCAGAAGTCGCTGAATTGCCCTCAACACTCACCGGCACCGTTCTTGGTTTGGCTGAGCTTGTTTGAGCTCTTTTTGTAGCCTTTCTGCCTGGAAGGTGTAAAACACCGGCTCCTCGCTGGCCCTGAGCAGCCGGCAGCAGTGCAGAAGAGCCAGACCCTGGCTGTGCCAGCACACCGGGCACTTTGCAACTGGGGATAAAACTATCCCGGTGTTTCCTCTGGAGGACCTGTCCCCTCTTTGGGCACAGTAAATCATCCTGCTTCACAGTCCGAGTGCCCGGCGCCCACTCTGGCATGACTGCTGGAGGAAGCTCAGCAAGGATGGGGTATCCAGTTATCCCCTCTTGCTGGAGAAGGGTAGGATGGAGCCAGCTCACTCCTGGGCTGGGCTTGGACCTGCCCAGGCTGGGCGTGCTTTGCCACAGCTGGTGATGACCGGATCCTGCCTGCAATGCTGAGCTATTGATTTGCTTTTGGCTCCATCAGGCTGGACTAAAAGCCTCTGCCTTCCCCTTCCCTCCCTCGATGCTTCGCTTTCCCATCGCTCTCCCTCCTCCTGCCAGCCCGCGTCCAAGCGGCAAGAAATCGGGGAAGCGTTTTCATCCCCATGAATGCAGCCAGTTACGTAAGAATAATTGGGATAAATGAGCTTATTTATCACGGCCCGTTCCATTTTAACGGGGTCCAGGGTGATCGCTGGGTTGAGTTACGTAAAAGCCCGCACAGAGCATCTCATTGTCCGGTGGCAGCCACGCAGGGTGCGGGAGCTGCTGATGGACAGGAGCCAGGGCTGGGTGAGGAGGGAATAGGTTGCTTGGCAGAATTGGGAGGAAGATGGGGGGTTTTCTTCCTCCACATGTTGGGAGGGAAAATCCATGTCTTCATTCCCTGTCCACCTCCTGCATGCCTAAAAAAACCCAGGCTTTAGGGTATGGTCTTTGGTGCTTTCCTGTAGCCATATAGTCTTCCACCATGGGGGACAGGAGCTGGAAACTCATCTCCTTCCTCTTCCTCACCCCAGGAGGTGAAAATGTGACCCCGGGGGGGTTCAGGTGTGCCTCCCATCTCCCAGCCAAACCGAGACCTGCCAAGCAGCTAGCAAATGCCTCCCACCCAGCCACCAAAGCAGGTGTTCCTTGTTTTGCCTCCTAAACCCTTCTGAGATGCCTTCAGGGGGTGATTTGCTTGCCAGCTGAGATTATCTGGTGGAGAACAGTGCTTAGTAGGAGTTGGGGGAAAGCAGAGATGCTCTGGGCTATGCCAGCATCTCCCCTGGTGCCAAGGTTCCCCGTCAGCCCATGGGGGAGATGTGGGGACCCGCAGAGCATCCCAGTTTCAGGAGAAGCTGGGGATGCTGGGGAGCTGGGTGGGCTCCCCCAAGAAGGCAGGAGCCTGGAGAAAAACAGGAAATCCCCAAATCCAAACAAACATGGAAGAAAAAAAAAAAAAAATCTGGTTTTTGGTTTTTGGTCTGAAATGTTGAAAACCTCGGGAATGCCTCAAGGTTTGTTTGCTGTGACCTGCTGGGCCTGGCCAAGCAGATCGGCGTGGGCCGTGGCGCCGGCTATGCCGTGTTTTGGGAAGAGTGCTGCCAGCTGGGTGTCCAGCAGAGCAGAGGCATCTTCCAGCTTCACCAGCTGGAGCTCAGGAGCCCTTCAGCACCGGATCTCGTGGGAGCTGGAGCATGGAGGAGTTCAAAGAGCAACAGGGCAGGTTACTGGAAGAAAGGGCGGCTGTAGAGGGAAAGGCAGCATCTGTCTCTGGGGCTTCCGGGTTGCACAGCACTGGGAGGGAATGGTTTGTCCTGGTGGCGACGCTCGCTTCCTACCACCAGTTCCCTGGTGTCAGGGGGATACTGGTCTGACTGGGCCATCACATGCCATCTGTAACCATGCTACTGCATGCTCCCTGCAGTTGTCAGGGTGGAAAGTGATGCTGAAACCTCTAGAGGGAGGTCACTGGGAGGCTTGAGGTGGCAACAAGCCACGGTGGTGGGTGCCAGCGAGGTCCCAGAGCAACACGACCGTGGATGTGTCTTAGCCCCGCTATTTTTTTTTTTTTGGCCTTCCCCTGGTGTGAATAGCTGCACCCTCCAAATGCAGAGCCTGATATTACCCCACATCAGCTCCACTCTGGTGCCACCATGCTCACCCAGCCTCTGGTGTGCCTGTATCTGTCATCCCTGGTCCTCTCTGCAGGAAGTGTGGGCTCAGGTCAGGGGCTCAGCTGCGCTCATTAACCATCCTTCCCCCCTGGTTTCTCTCCTCTGTGATACACAGGCAGCTTTGTCTACTTCTGAATGCAGAAAACATCTTCCACTCCATGGCAGACATACTGCTTCGGGAAGAGGACCTCAAATTCGCCTCTACCATGGTCCACACCCTGAACACCATCCTGCTGACATCCTCTGAGCTCTTCCAGCTGAGGAACCAACTGAAGGACCTGAAGACCCCGGTATGGGCAGTGGGAGCAGGCTCAGCTGCTGGGGGGGACATAATGGGGGTGGCAGGGACCTAGCAGCCACCTGGGGACATGTCTTGCTGCTCAGTCTCTGCCAGGCAGGTCCCAGGGCTGGAGCTCAGGCGCCCGGGGCAGCCCCTTCATTCCTCCTCTCTTCAGGAACTGAGGGGGGCTTGGAGGACATGCCCAACTCTTGCTTTCCCGCCCCCGGGTTGGGAACAGGCTCCCTGAGCCCTCAAGCAGCTGCCGCCTCCCTCCCTCCACCCCGGCAGGGGCCAGAGGACAGATGGCAGCAGGAGCAGAGCTCCACCAGTCCCTCAGCTGTGCCTGCCAGGAACGCATCCGCGGGCTTTGCCGAGCAGCTGCCACCCGCACCAGTGACATCCCCTGTCTCCTCTTCCTCCTCATGCTGAAGGCCAGCAATGCAGTGGTGTCCCCTTGGGTGGGACAGCCACCGTCCTCCAGCCCCTCATCCTGCAGTGCACACAGCACCCCTGAGGGCCACTCCGTCATGCTGCCACCCCAAAACCCACCTGGTCTCCATCTCCCAAGGCTGGTGGGCTCATGGCAGTGCCAGGTGGACTTGGTGGGTCCAGAAACGTCCCTTCGTGTCTCAGTGGCACTTGCCAGCCCGGTGGGTTGCTGTCGGAGACCTGGGGCTCTCCATGCCATTTCCTTGCTCCCGCCAGTGGCCTGATCCTGACAGCTCCCTCTTTCCCCAGGAAAGCCGTAACCTCTTCTGCTGCCTGTACCGGTCCTGGTGTCACAACCCTGTGACAACTGTGTCCCTCTGCTTCCTTACCCAGAACTACAAGCATGCCTACGACCTCATCCAGAAATTGTATCCTTTGGGAGTTTTCTGTGAGGCTGGTGCCTGGCCTGGCCCCTGGTCCCTCTGTGGCCACCAAGGTCACCCTGCAGGCCAGCTCAGCCTCCTGCATGAAGCCCATCATTACCAGGGCGGCATCCCCACAATGAGAGGGCAGAGCAGCCTGCGCTGGGTGCGCACCAGCTCCCTTGCCCTTATGTTGTCCTTATTTTTAGTGGTGTAAAAAGAGGATAGCGTGCGCTGTCTGAGCCCTGACCTTCCCCTGCCCGGGAGGGGAGGCTTCTCAGCATCCTCTTCCTCCCAGGAAGATGAAGGCTTTGGCCTCCTGGCCCGATGAGGAACAGGCAGTGCCCGGCACGGTGCAATCCCCAGTGAGCTCACTGTCTGCCGGGAGCAGAATGATTATTTTCATGTGCTGGCAAACCCTGAGCCTCCCTGAGTAGCTTTCCATATGAAGAAGCTTAATAACGCGCTCGGGTTCCCTTCCCGGTGCATGCTGGCGTTTCTCCTGGGGCACAGGAGCGCTCGGCATTGTCTCCATGCCGTCCCTGTGGGCCAGGAGGGTAAAAGCAAGTGTCCTCCCTTGCACCATCTTCCTGCCTGCTCTCTGGCTAGACAAGCTGCTGGCTTTTTGGGTAGCCTGCCTTTTCCCCCATCCCTGCCTGCTCATCCTGTTTCCTTCCATCATCCCTTGGCCACCCTGCAGACTGCTGAAAGCAGCCCTGCCTGCATGCAAGCCCTGCCTGTTCCCTGCCTGCTCACTTCCCACAGGAGCTGCGGGTGCAGGGAGGGTTTGGCAGAGCCACAGTCCATGCCGGGCATCACCCGGGCGAGCCATCTGCTGCTGCCGGGCCACCCTTTTCCAAGGTAACATCCTTAATGGCCACATCCAGCGGGGATCTGGAGGTCACCGTGGATTTCCTCACCGAGGTGGACAAGCTGGTGCAGCTCATCGAGTGCCCCATATTCACATGTAAGGAGGAGACCCCGCATGGGGAAGGGGCGGTGCATGGTGCTCCTCCACCCCAGGCACGTCCCCCTCCCTGCTCCTCCATCACACGTGGCAGCGGGCCCAATGAATA